CACACACACACACACAAACACACAAACACACAAAAACAAACACACACAAACACCCACCCACACACACATACAAACAAACAAACAAACACACCCACCCACACACACACACACACACACACACATACAAACACAAACACACACAACCACCCACACACACAAACAAACAAACACAAACAAACACACACACACAAACACACACACAAACACACACACACACAAACACACACCCACACACACAAACACACACATACAGATCAAGCCTTCTGCAGAGATCTACTTCGAAGTCCAAATATGACTTTTCCAAGCACACATACGCCCAACTCAGAGACGCCATCAACACCTCGTGTGGTGAGGCCATGGCGGTGGCGACTGTGGCGACGATGATGATGATGATGATGATGATGAAGACGATGATGACGAAAATGATGATGATGATGATAATTGCAAAATATTGATGGCTGGTTCATTCATAAGATTTCATAAAAACAAAACTATCATCACCACGATCACTACCCACCATCACCCATACTAACCCATCTCACCCCACCCTTCACCATCGTACTCGTTTTCACCCTTTCCATCCACCACCACCATCATCACCACTACTAGACATGGAGTTGATAAATGCTTGCAAAGAAGAATTTCACAGACGTCTGAAGGTTTATCACGACTGGAAGACAAAGACCAGTAACAACAAGTCGTTCGGTGGGGGCGTGCCTAAAAGTTTGGCTCCTCCCAGTAAGTTGATTGGTTGATTGGTGGGTTGATTTCTGATTGGTTGATCGACCAACCAATCAATCAATCAATCAACCAACAAAATAACCAATCAATTATTCAACAAATCAAACAACCAATAACCAATCAACCAATCAGCCAATCAACCAATCATTCAACCAACCAATCAATCATTCAATCAACCAACCAATTAGCTAACCAATTAGCCAATCAATCAATCATTCAACCAACCAATCAATCAGGTTCTTTGGCCGCTGTGGCTAGCAAACTTCCGCCGGCAGCCGACAATCAGCAGCGCTTCTTCAAGATCGCCTTCACAAAACCCTCCGATGAAAATCGCGACGGCATTGAAGCTAGAGGTCATGATGATGATGATGAAGATGATGGTGGTGGTGGTGATGATGATGGTGATGATGATGATGATGATGTTTGTAGTTGATGATTAAAATAGCGATATATCTCTAATCATCATCATCACCACCATCATCATCACCATCATCATTATTATTATTATTATTATTATTATTATTATTATCATCATTATTATTATTATTATTATTATTGTTATTATTATTATTATTAATTATTATTATTATTGTTGTTGTTAGGCTGGTGGTGGGCACATTTTGACGGGAAGTGGATTGCCAGGCAAATGGAGATGCATATCGGGATGAAGCCGCTGCTACTCATAGCCGGTCGGTTGTTTATTCCTTTACATGTTTGTTCTTTCGTTCGTCTGTTTGGTTTGCTCTCGCTCGTTCGTTCGTTTGTTCGAACCATCAACACCACCACAACCATCATCATCATCACCACCATCATCACCATCACCATCTCCATCGTCATAATCATACCCATCAAAAACCCCGACAACAACAACAAAACCCCCAACAACAACCTCCAACAACCACCTATAACTACCACCCCCAACAACCATCCCCAACAACCACCCCCAACAACCACCCCCAAAGGCCTGGACGACATGAAGATGTGTGAGATGGCTCTGGAGGAGACGGGGCTGACCCGGAAACGGGGTGCCGAAATCCTGGAGAAAGATTTTGAGGAGGAATGGAATAAACACGGCGGTGCGGCCTATCTCAAAAACAACATCAAACTCGTCTCGTCGAAGTTTCTCAAGATGAAATTGAGCGCCAAGTGATCCGCTTACCGGTTAAAGCTACTTCCGGTTTGAGCTATTTCCGGTTGAGGCTATTTCCGGTTTAAGCTATTTCCGGTTTAAGATATTTCTGGTTTTACATGTGGTGGTTTTGGATTTTGTAATTGTGACAAAAGAATTTGTTTCGATGATCCATATTTTGGAAGGTTTTGGGTTATTAGAGGGGAGTTGTTTTTTTTTAGAATTTTAAAATAAATATTTCCTAATTTTTTTAAAGATTACGAATTATTGAAAGTGAAAGCTAACAATTATACAATTAATTCATCTCATTTTCACGCATCCATGGGCAGTTCATCATTGTTCCAGTCTCAAAATTCCAGTTTCCAATTTAGATCTAACTTTAACGTTTTTATGTCTTCGGTGGTTTCTGTATGGAATTTTGAATTTTTAAAACAGGCGAATGTTCGCATGTTTTTGCCGAATTTTATTAAATAAATAAATTGATGATATAATGAATAAATTAGTAATTAAATTAATTATTAAATATATAAAATAATAAATAAATAGATGAATGAAGCAATCTTGTTAGGACAATAACCAAACTTATAAGAAAGAGTTAGATCAAAACCACGAAATTATTCAGAAAGTGTAGAAGTTAGTGAGAGAGAGAGAAGGAGGAGAAAAGAGAGAGAGAGAGATGTAGGAGAAAGTGAAGAGGAGATAGAAGAATGAAAAGAAAGATCAAGAAACGGAAAGCAAGGAAAAACTACGAGAGAGAGAGAGAGAGAGAGAGAGAGAGAGAGAGAAGAGAAAGATTGGAAGAAAGAGAGTGAAGGGGAAAAAAAACGAAAATATAAAGTAGAGGGAAAGAATTTTTAAAAGTTTACATTCTGAAATTTCGACCGTGGGAGCCAAGGAACTAATAGAATTTTATAGATATAATATATTGTTATATATATCCATTCAAAATGTTCATTAGTACGGCTAAAATTAGGCTTGTGACTTTTTTGGTTCATCAATTCAATTTCTGATCGATTTTTAACTGAAAACTGAGTGTTGCTGAATTTTAATAAAAATAACCTCCTTAGATAAGCTACTGTATAAATCTAGTAAAAAATTACCTGATAAATTTGCTATATCAGGGTCACATCCAAGAAAATCGAACTATAGTATTACGAAATGGGTCCTTAGATAATGATTGAAGAACCAGGCGACCTTAACCATTACACCATCACGCCGACATATGGTTTCCACTTGTGTTTAAAAACTAAAAATGATGAATATTTCTCTCTGAGAACTGAGTTTTACCGACATTTTATAAGACTGCTCACAACGGGGGGCCACTATAGGCATGGATATTATATCCATGATTATAGGAAAACCTTTTGTAATGGGTGGCAGACTCGAGGGCCGCCCTACGCCGGTTTTAGTTCAAAACCTTTCATTAAAACTGAAACAAAACAGTTTTTTTTAATTTTTATAATTTTAATAACTTTAATTTTTTTATTTTTTAAAAAATAAACTTTAAAATTTTGATAATGTTGAATAAAAATTCATTTAAAATTAAAAAACATGAATTTTGAATAATAACCATTGATATCGATGATAAGAATGAATAAACACAAAAAAAACGTTTCAATAGCTGTTAATTATTAGTTTATTTAATTAAATAATTAATTAATGGGATAAATAAATAAAACTATTTTAAATTTAAAAAAAAAATTATTTAAATTCACATTTTCGCATTTTACCACAAACATATGGCAGCCTTTGTTGTGTAATGAAATGACAAAAAATCGGTAAAAAAATGTACAAAACTCCACTTTTAGGATTTAACGGTAAATTGAGTGGATTATTTTTTAGAAATTAGTGAAATGATTATTTAGGAAATGATTTTAAAGCCCGAAATTTCGATGTCAGCGCGTATCCATCGGCCAAAATGCGTTGTTTAAATTCTAAAAATTTGCATATTTGTATCATATCCTTGTTCAAGTTTTCTTAATTAATTAATTAATTAATTAATTGATTGATTGATTTTATTAATTAAATTAATAATCGTGAAAGTTTTTAATTAATTGTAAATTTGGTTTAGTTAGTTTTTTTCTCCTTGATCAAATTTTTGGCTTGTATTTTAGTTTTATTTTAATATTTTAATAAAATTGTTTTTTATTTGATTGATAATTTTTTAAAAATAAAATTATAAAATTCTATTTTCACATGATTAAAAAATAATTTACTCAAATTGTTAACTGAAGAAGCATTTTTTTAAAATTTTATTCTTAGTTTTCCATCATGATTCATGAAATTGTTTTTTTTTTTTATAAAAATAGGAAATAGATTAATAGGCCAAATTCCATTTAATTATAATAAATAAACAAATGAGTAATTATTTCAGTTTGTTTCCCTAATTTTGGAATAATTTATTGATTAGTGTATAAAAATTTAGAACAAGAACTATGAAGGAGTTATTATTTATTTTATTAAGTAATGGAAATTTTAAAATATCTATATGTATTTTATTATAATATTATATGTATTTAATTTTTGAATTTAATTAGACTAAAAAAATATTTTTTATTTTAATCTATTATATGTTACAAAATAAGTAATTTGCAAATATAAATATGAATATTTCAATTTTACTAATTTTTTATAAAGAAATTTAGTTATTTATAATTATTCTTCATAAGTAGTCATGATTGATAGTAAATGTTTTCTTATATGTGTGTGTATGTTTATGTACGTATGTATGTGTTGTTTGTGTTTGTGTGTGAATGTGTGTGTGTGTGATTGTGTGTGTCTACATCTTAGTTATTAATACTAATAATTAAAGCTAAAATTACATCTTCCTCTATATTGTATATGATATCATAGCAATCTCAGAACTGAAAAAAGCCAGGCCAGGCAGCATTTGCCATCAAACTGCTAAGAAGCTTCCGTCATAAATATTATGACATAATTATTAATAATTTCAATAATATTAATAATTATTTTAATTATATTAATAATTATTTCAAGGCTATGACGGCTTTCCTACTTTCATATCGCATTAATATTACTTAATTTATCACGAGAATTTTCATCTAGGAATTGCTAAGCTGTGTATATAATATCAATAGTAGTAATAATAATAATAATAATTTCAATTATATTAATAATTATCTCTAAAAATAATTATGACCATAATTTTTTATATTTTTCCATAAAAAAAGCTCCCCCTAAACACCCATCAGGAAGTCAAAATCAACAGCAACAACATTTTGGCGTCGATTTTTCGCAGTTGTCCTTAAATGGTTATTGTTGTTGTTGTGTGGTTATTATTATTATTTATTATTATTGTTGTTGTTGTTATTATTATTATTTTGATTATTAATTGAAGTTTATTATTGAAAACAACGACAAACAAACAAACAGACAAGCAAACGATTTGTCGCAGTTTTCCTCTTAAATGGTTTTTATTATTATTGTTGTTGTTGTGTGGTTATCATTGTTTATTGCTATTTTTGTTTTTATTATTATTATTATTATTATTATTACTATAATTATTAATTGAAACAAAGTAGCACAAACAAACCTAGCCCGCATAAATTATTATAGGAATGATTTATAACGAAGTGCTTTTAAATAGCAGCAACAACAACAATAACAATAATAATAATAATAGAAACAATAACAATAATAATGATATTAATAATAATATACAGATAGCAACAACCAGGCCTCGAACAGCAGCGGCAGCAGTGGCTTCGGCGAAGGGAATTCTCAAAATAATAATAATAATAATAATAGTAACATAAATAATAATAATAATAATTTTCCTAATAATAATAATAATAATAACTTCCATATTAATAATAATAATAACTTGTATAATCTAAATATGAGTAGCTTCAATCCTTTCGGCTTAAACCAGTTCAGCATGAGAAACAATAATAATAATAATAATAATAATAATAATAATATCAATGTTAATAACCTTATAAATAATAATAATAACAATTTCAATAATAACTTTAATAATAATAATAATAAAAACCACAACAACAACGACAGTAACGAAATGACGTCATCGTTCCTCACCAACCCTCCAATACAGATACACCCGCTTAATAACAATAATAATAATAACAACAACAATAATAATAATAATAATGTCAGCACCACGGATAGCGATGATAGTGGTAGCGTCGGGAGTAACAGTGGAGGGTCAGTATTAATATTATTATTATTATTATTGTTATTATTATTATTATTATTATTGTTGTTGTTATTATTATTATTATTGTTGTTGTTGTTATTGCTATTTGTCATTTGTAATCCTATTAAATCAGATTAAATCCATCATTTGTTTAGATTTTTTTTTTTTTCATTCATTCATTCATCCATCCATCCATCTATCCAGAGCCAACCACTACAACAACAGCAACAACAACTACAACAACAACAACAAACCCAACAACAACAACAACGCCCTACTTCCGGTTTTCCGCACACCCCTCAGACCGGGGCACGGATCAGAGGGCCGGAAGATTTTGCTGAAAGCCAATCATTTTCAAATAAAAGTACCCCGTGGTTTCGTCTACCATTATGACGTGGCCGTCATGCCAGATAAATGTCCCAGAAGGATTAACAGGTTGGATTAACTAACAAATTTATCTAGCAAATCAAATTATTAATCAATCAACCAACCAATTGCTTTACAAACTCCATCCATCAATCAATCAATCAACCAACCAATCAGAGAAATCTTTGAAGCGATGGTCAAACGCTATTCGTTGCAGTTCTTCAATCGACAACTTCCGGTTTACGATGGTAGAAGGAATATGTACAGCAAGGAACCATTGATGTTTGGTAAAGAGAAGGTTGGTTGGATGAGTGGTTGGTTTATATTCATTCATTCATTCATTCATTCAATCAATCATTCATTCATTCATTCATTCATTCAATCATTCATTCATTTATTCATTCACTTGCTCCTTTATCAATTCATGAATGAATGAATGAATGACCAATCAATCAATCATTCATTCATTCACAGACCGAACTCGAAGTAACACTGCCTAGCGATGCTGTTGAAAGAGTTTTTAAAGTAACCATCAGGTACTTATCACAGGTATGTCAATCAATCAATCAATCAATCAATCAATCAATCAATCAATCAATCAATCAATCAATCAATCAATCAATCAACAAATCAACCAACGAATCAATCAACCAATCAATCAACCAATCAACATACCAATCAATAAAAGGTTTCCTTAGTGGCATTAGACGAAGTTTTTGAGAACAAAAGTCAGAACGTCGTCCCCACTGAAGCCGTGCTAGCCCTTGATGTCATCATGAGACATCTGTCTAGTATCACGTGAGTAGTTGGCCGGTTGGCTGATTGGCTGGTTGGTTGATTGGTTGGCTGGTTGATTGATTGGTTGGCTGGTTGATTAATTGGTTGATTGATTGATTGGTTGGTTGGTTTATTGATTGGTTGGTTGATTGATTGATTGATTGATTGATTGATTGATTGGTTGATTGATTGGATTGATTGATTGATTGATTGATTGATTGATTGACAGGTACACTGCTGTTGGCAGATCTTTCTTCTCGCCTCCCAATTTAGATTCGGCTTCGAGGTTACATACCAATCACATTTTTTAAAATTATCTCTTTCAAGTTTAAACCATCCAATGACAACTCTTAACTACGTCATCAAGGTACATAATTAGAATTCTTCCCACACCTTTCTGACCAATCACAGTTCATCTTTAACTTCATCGACCAATCACTATTCCCCTCCACTCTGCCAGCTAATCACAATTCATCTTTTACTTCATCAACCAATCACAATTCATCTTCAACCTCATCGACCAATCACAATTCACTTCCAATCCTCGCCGACCAATCAGGTATAGCGCTGCCAACGCCCAAGTGATGTTCAACCCTGGCGACTGCTCGAACACGCTGGGCGGAGGTCGAGAGGTGTGGTTTGGTTTTCACCAGAGTATACAACCTTCTCATTGGAAGATGATGCTTAATATCGATGGTTGGTTGGCTCTGATTGGTCGACTGTGATCGAATGCTTGTTCCTGATTGGCTGACTGTGATCGATTGCTTGTTCCTGATTGGCTGACTGTGATCGATTGCTTGTTCCTGAGAGTTGTATAGCTTTATGTAAATAACTTACAACATCATACAAATACAGTACAAATACAATACAAATACATACAAACACATACAAACACATAAATCAAACAATCAATCAATCTTAGTTTTGCGTCCAGAGACCCGGTTTTCCGAGGTAGGACGTAAAAACACATAAAATACATACAAATACAATGCAAAGACATACAAACGCTTAGAAATACAATACAAATACAATGCAAACACATAAAATACGTACAAGCACATACAAATACAATACAAACACATACAAATACAATACAAACACATACAAACACATAAAATACGTACAAGCACATACAAATACAATACAAACACATACAAATACAATACAAACACATACAAACACAATACAAATACAAATGCATACAAACAGTTTCGGCGACTGCATTCTACAAAGCACAGCCGGTCATCCAGTTCATGTGTGACGTCCTCGAGATGAGGGATCTCGCCGACCACAAGAGACCACTCAGTGACGCACAGAGGGTCAAGTTCACCAAAGAGATCAGAGGCGAGTTATGATGATGATGTTGGTGGTGGTAATGATAGTGTCGATGATAATGATGGGGGTGATGATGATGATGATGATGATGGTGATGATGACAGGTCTGAAGATAGAAATAACCCATTGCGGATCTGTGAAGAGGAAGTACAGGGTATGTAAAGTGACCAGGAGACCTGCTCAGACCCAATCGTTAGCTCTTTCCTTCTTTCGTTCGTTCATTCATTCATTCATTCATCCATTCATTCATTCATTCATTTGTTAGTTCATCCATTCATCCACCCATCCATCCTCTGTCCGTCCGGTTATTTGTCATTTTATTTATTAATTCATCAATTCAGTAATTCATCCATTCATCTATCCGACCGCCATTCATTAATTCATTCATTAATTCATTCATTCATCCATTAATTAATTAATTAATTAATTCATTCATTCATTTATTCATTTGTTAGTTCATCCACCCATCCATCCTCTGTCCGTCTGGTTATTCGTCAATTTATTTATTAATTCATCAATTCAGTAATTCATCCATTCGTCTATCCGATCGCCATTCATTAATCCATTCATTAATTCCTTCATTAATTAATTAATTCATTCATTCATTTGTTCGTCCATTAATTAATTAATTAATTAATTAATTAATTAATTCATTCATTCATTCATTCATTCATTTGTTCGTCTTATTCTCCAGTTTTCCACTACAGCTAGAGAGAGGAGGGACAGTTGACTGCACTGTGGCCAAGTACTTCCTTGAAAAGTATCGCATTAAATTGCAGTAAGTACTGATTAATTTCTTCATTCGTTCATTGATTGATTGATTGATTCATTCAATTATTCATTCATTCATTTGTTCATTCATTCACTCATTTATTCGTTCGTTCATTCATTCATTCATTTATTCGCTCGTTCATTCATTCATTCATTCATTTATTCATTCATTCACTCGTTCATTCACAGGTACCCTCACCTTCCATGTCTACAAGTCGGCCAGGAGCTGAAGCACACCTACCTGCCTCTGGAGGTTAGTCACACACACCACCAATAATAATAATAATAATAATAATAATAATAATAATAATAATAATAATAATAATAATGATAATGATAATGATGATAATAATAATAATGATAATAATATTAATATTAATGATAATAATGATAGAAATAATAATTATTATTGTTAAAATAACGCCATCTACAATCATCATTACCATTACCAGCGTCATCATCATCATCATCATCACCACCATCATCGTCATCATCATCATGACCGTCACCAGGTATGCAACATAGTGCATGGGCAGAAGTGCATCAAGAAACTCACGGACTCCCAGACATCTACCATGATAAAGGTTCTGATGATGATGATGATGATGACGATTATGGTGGTAGTGATGATGATGATAACAATGGTGGTGATGATGATGAAGATGATGACGATAAAGATGATGATGATGATGAAACAAATTCTGTCAACGTTTATGCAAATGAGGATTATGCTAAGGAGGTTTATGCTAATTAGTCTTATGTTAATCCCATGGCTAGTTACGTCATAATTTACCATGCAAATTTGGATTACATTAATGAGGAAAACGCCCTGATGCTGAATATGCAAATGAGGATTATGCTAACTAGCATTATGTTAATCGCTGAATATGCAAATGAGGATTATGCTAACTTGCATTATGTTAATGGCTGGATATGCAAATGAGGATTATGCTAATTAGCATTATGTTAATTTCACGGCCAGTCGACGTCGAGGGCGGCGCCGGATCGCGAGAGGGAGATCAACACTTTGGTGCGCAAGGCGAACTTCAACGCGGACCCCTACCTCCAGGCTTTCGGGATCTCCATCTGCAGTCAGATGTCTGATGTTCATGGCAGGGTCCTCCCAGTTCCCAAGTTGCAGTTTGGCGGGAGGGTAGGTTTGCTCGTTTGTGATTGGCTGGCTGGTTGAGTGGGGGTTTGTTTGCTGATTGGTTAGATGATTGGCGTAAGAGTAAGTATCTCGTTTGTGATTGGCCGGCTGGTTGAGTGGGGGCCTGTTTGCTGATTGGTTAGATGATTGGCGGGAGGGTAAGTTGGCTCGTTTGTGATTGGCTGGTTGTGTGGGGGGCTCGTTTGCTGATTGATTGATTGGTTGGCTGATTGATTGATTGATTGACTGGTTGGTTGGCTGGCTGGCTTATAAATTGCTTACATTTTACAAAGCTCCACTAATAAATCATAAAATTAATCCATTAAAGACATTTAAACAATCGAAAAAGTCAATCAATCAACCAGCCAATCAATTAGCCAATCAAAAAACCAATCAATCAACCAAATCAATCAACCAGCCAATCAATTAACCATTCAATCTCGATTACCAATCTTTTAATCCAATCAATCAATAACCAATCAATCATTCAACCATTCAACCAATAAATCATTCAACCATTCAATCAATAAATCATTCAACCAATAAATCATTCAACCATTCAATCAATAAATCATTCAACCATTCAGCCAATAAATCATTCAACCATTCAACCAATAAATCATTCAACCATTCAACCAATAAATCATTCAACCATTCAACCAATAAATCATTCAACCATTCAACCAATAAATCATTCAACCATTCAACCAATAAATCATTCAACCATTCAACCAATAAATCATTCAACCATTCAATCAATAAATCATTCAACCATTCAACCAATAAATCATTCAACCATTCAACCAATAAATCATTCAACCATTCAACCAATAAATCATTCAACCATTCAACCAATAAATCATTCAACCATTCAATCAATAAATCATTCAACCATTCAATCTCGATTACCTCTGGCAGACGAAGGCCCAAGTAATACCGACACAGGGTGTATGGGACATGAGGGGCAAGCAGCTCTACCAAGGTTCAAAGTTCAATGTCATACATACATTCATACATACCTCATACCTGTTTAGTTGTTGCAGAGTTTAAAGTTCAAAGTTCATTTGATGCAATACGATTTGTTATTATGAATCGTTGGCTGTAAGGTGTGGTTGTTAAATAAGTCAGACGAACATGAAGCCGACCATCCAACCAACCAGTCGATCGATCAATCAATCAATCAATCTAATCAATCAATAAACCAACCAACTCCCAACCAATCAATCATTTAAATGGTCAATCAATCAACTAACCAATCAATCAATCATTTAAATAGTCAATCAATCAACATACCAACCAATCAACCAACCAACCAATCAATCAATCAATTATTTAAATAGTCAATCAATCAACATACCAACCAATCAACCAACCAATCAATCAATTATTTAAATAGTCAATCTATCAACCAATCAATCAGCCATCAAACAAATCAGTCAATCAATCGTTCAATCAACCAGCCATTCACAAATCAATCAACTAACTAACCAACTAACCAGGCATTAACATCAGAGTATGGGCTATAGCCTGCTTTGCTGCCCAGAGAGTTATTGGAGAGGAGGCGCTAAGGTTGAATAAATTTGCATAAATTATCATAAATTCACATAGAATTATGTAAATTTACATTACTACTACTAATGTTAGCGCCAATTTTTTTCTTCATCATCGTTACCGTAGCTAAAATAAAAATCATAATCATCATCGTCGTCATCATCAGGATGTTCACCCAGCAGTTGCAGAAGATCTCGACGGACGCTGGCATGCCAGTGATGGGGCAGCCCTGCTTCTGCAAATACGCCACTGACGCCGACCAGGTGGGCTATTTGGGATGACGTCACGAACGTCACCTGACGTCACCTGACGTCATCGAATTCAATCAAAATTAGATTTACCACAGTATCACTTTTCTCTTTGCCAAGTCTTCTTCGCCATGTTCGACCCATCCCAAACACCATATGACATTATTCGAAATACCTAACTATCTAAGAAGCTAAATAAATACTAATATGTATTGTATATATATATATATATATATATATATATATATATATATA